GTATTTTTATGTAATGATCAACCACACAAAGCAACTTCCACATATCAGAGCAAAAAGCTGGAATCCATTTTAATCAAATGTTCCAAGGATTCACCTACTGTATGGTATTCATGATATTATGGTCTTCTTGACTCATTTTGACAAATGAACAGACTATTGTGCATGTGATGACTTATACAATGAAATGACGCTGACACATTTTGCAGAGAACAACCATTAGACTGAGAATTACCAATCAGTTTAGATCAACAAGATCTATTCACTTGGAAATTGTGCTAAATATAGGCTATCTGTACTTAATCATTTGCAAAGATGTACTTAGACATTTGCAATTTAATGAAATGAATAAGAAATTAAATTCTGTTGTGTACAATTGCCAAGTGGTTTAGATGTTTGTCCATGTTGTTTTGAGAATGTAATTTCGGTTCAAGAAATGAGCCAAACCAATGGAGAAAAACTGTAATTGGCAGTTCTTGTGGTTCGTTTGCTTGTTTGTCTGATCGTCTTTGTTGTACTACTTGAACATACTTAAACTTAATCGATTTGTGTTGGAATTGTGTGGAACCCAGTGTTGTTTACAGTTGCTGGAAACAGTTTTTATCTGCTTTTGATTTCTGCGTACGCTGACTTACAATATTTCAACAGTTCAGGTCATAAACAAAGCCTTATTTTGTCACCTAAGCAAAACAAATGCAATTAAATTTATAAAAAAATGTTCATAAACTCAAGAATTGAGAGTGCATGCTTGTGCAGAAATTACCATTATATGATGCTTAAGTGCTGTGAAGGTGTTGCTATGCAGTTGCTAAGGTGTTCTGGGTGGTTGCAAAGTGGATTTCTAATGTCAAATCCCATTGGCTGTGTCTGAAATCACACACTTTTTAAGGGGACAGCCATTTGTAGTGGAAGTCGCTGAGTGCACTCATTCAGTCCTGTAATGCAACACAATTACAAATGTACACTCAGCGTCTAAAATAATACCACTGTGAGCGGCAGCTGAATGGATTCCTTTATGAGACCCATGAGGTACGCTAATAACTAAATGACATAATCATAATAAATGTATCACTTTAAGGACTTTCATAAGTCAATGCTGCAATTTTTACATTCCCCAGATTATATTTAATATGCACAATATTCTTTGCAGTTTTCACAATAAAATAACAATTACACTATCAAAAATATGTATTAATCATTCATAAAATGTATGATTGATCATGGGAGTTCGGAAACTGACATTCCTAGTGCAGTTAATGTAATGTAATGTGTATTTATATAGCACATTTATTATGTACGCCCATACACCCAAAGCTCTTCACAATCAAGGGGGGTGTGGTCTCCACACCACGACCAGTGTGCTGCATCCCCTTCGATGATATGACGACAGCCACAGTACAACAGCACCAGTGCTTACCACACACCAGCAATTGGGAGAGCGGAGAGACAGAGATACAGCCAATTTTGTGGGAAGGGACGATTGGGAGGCCATGATTAGTAAGGACCGATAGAGGGAATTTGGTACACACCTACTCTTTATGAGATGTGCCATGGGATTTTTAATGACCATTGAGAGTCAGGATCAGGTCTCATCTGAAAGACGACACTCACAGACAGTATAGTGTCAGTATATATTAGGACGCACACTGACTGCTGATCTCACTAACACCACTTCCAAAATAAACCCACAGTAGTTTTCCCATGTAGTCTCTCCGAACAGGCTCAGCCCTGCTTAGCTTCAATGAGTAACTAGTTTTGGGCTGCAGGGTGATATGGCTGTGGCTGCAATCATCATTCAGGTAGAAGTTCCATTTGAACTGAATAATGACAGTTTTAATTAAGACTTAATTATTCAATTGTTTAATTAAGCTTTGTACATGCTAGTTTTTATGACAGGATTTGAGATTAAGATTTGCATTACGACTAGAGCAGTCAGTTTGCTAAGATTTAGGGCTGCACTATTCTGGCTAAAATGAGAATCAAGATTTGTTTTTGCTTAAAATTAAGATCATGATTTTCTCAAGATTCTGTGGATGTAAAATAAATGTTAGTATTAGTAGGTTGTTGTTATTGCCATTCTCAAACATATGGTAAAAAAAAAATGATAATATTAGGCCTATGTGTAGGTCTACTGTTGGTTAAAATGCCACATTTTGTATAACTATGGAATGGTAGACTTGAACAGACTTGTTCTAAAAATGTCCTGGTCGTTAATACACAGTAAAGTGATGACATCAAAATAATACAACTATTCATAATATTGAAGTTGAATTATTGTGTTTGAGAGGTATGCTTGCAATCTGAAACTACTGGGAAAAACGGGAGTGTTGGCATATTACTGTAACTGTAATATGAAACGTGTTTCAGGCAGCCGCTGCGATCGAATTCTATACCACAGTTGGTGACCCTGGGATTAGGATTAGGAAAATAACAAATTGGGAGGGCGGTGGGAGATGGGTCTAAAATACAGGGAAAAACTCCTGGGAAAAACGGGAGTGTTGGCAGGTGTGCATTATATAGGCTAGAGTATTTATACTGACACTGCAAACGTTTACTCTCATGCACAACACTCTGTTTGTTATGAAAGAAAAAACATCAAATGCTTGTCGTAATTATAACTGTAAAATGTGATATGATCATTTAAAATATGTGGGCACTTTTGGTTTCTCTTTCACAGCTGAGGGTGCTCATGTCATGGCTGGCGTCACTTTGAGAATTAAAACGTACATACAAATCATACTTTCTGCACAACTTCCAGCACGGCTTTTTCTTTTTAAACTGAACGTTGTTTCCAATTTTATCACCTGTTATTTACAGCCTATGCAGGTTCTTTTCACTAGACATACAGTAGACACGCGCATGTCCTCTCAGTAATAAACAAACAGTGTATCAGCTCACATGTGATTTCAAGACCGCAAATACATCTTTATATGAAGACAGAAATGACAGTTTTGGGTAAATTATACCTTTAAATACCTTTAAGTAAGTGACTTTTATTGCCAATTGGAGATGTCCATGTTGCTGAGCAATGTGTATAAAACAATGTAAAGACTTGTGCGACCGCCCTTAAGCTTCTCTCCTGACCTTGAAAATATCATTGGCTGAATCATAGAAAAGCTGAATTAAAATTGTGTGTAGGGTCGAATCGAGATCACAATCTTTTTTTGATTGATCTTGCAGCCCTACTAAGTTTCAAACAAAAGTTTAGTACTAGTAGGACTCCTTAGTAGAAGCAGTAACACTAAATAAACAATTTTTTACATTTAAAGTAATATAAAAAAATAATATATTGTGCTCAGAATATGTATAACAAACCCCCCCACACCACATTCTATGATGCTTGATATATTTATCAAGCTCACTTCTCTTTTTTGGCCTTGTTTTTATGTCACTTTCCTGAAGCGGAGTTCTGCTTTGTGCTTCTCGCATGAGCATGATTGACTCCACAACAGAAAACGGTCACATGCTCAGCAGTGAGAAGCGGATAATAACACAATAGCATTTCTGTGCACACTTTTCTCAGTACAAGACAGTGTGGGTGGAAGTGAGGTCATCGTTTATAGACACAATCCACCGCTCACGCAAGGCTGCAGAGAGATGCCACTATCCTTAGGTGAGATAAATGACAACTCGCACTGTATTACTACAAACTATTAAAATAAAATGGCTATATTTATGCACAAATGTGAGATCATTTGTGACTTTTCTGCATACAAAATTATCTACTATAGATGAAGCGTTAATGACGATCATACCTTTTACAAACTACAGTCGCACCACCAGTATTTTGGAGCCATAGTATCACAATACTACCATAGTACCGGTAAACTGTGCAACCCTACTGAACTGTGATTTAGTTAATTATGATCCCAACTCAACATTGCACATCCTGCAATGTGACTATTGGGGATGTGGCTACATGGATATATGATTCAAATTGAACAGAACAGTCTAAACATTTATTTGTGATTAAACATTTTCACTCTCCAGTATCACATAACCCTAAAGAGTGACAATAATCCTACAGATATCAATCCAAAATAAGGACTTAGATTTCCTATTTCCTATTATTATCAGCATTAATGTAAAACAGTTAGGGTTAATTAGGGTTAGGGTGTTGCTTAATTTTTTCATTTTTGTTTTGCAGAAACCATCATAGACTAGAGTCATTTAAAAAAAAATGGTGCTTGCATACAGCGAGGATCCACTAAATTGACCCTAAAATAAATAAATGATGAGGAAAAACTAAAAACCTCACTAAAATATTAAGCTAAAACTACTTCCAATGCAGATCAGTAAGCATGAGACTTTTTAAAAGAGCGCGTATTCTGAAAGTAAATGTAAAAGTTCACCCCCAAAGCATGTCTATATTTAAAGAGAACCATCTGAAACAAAGTTTACATCGTGCTATTGATATAAACCACTTAAACCAAAGTGCTAAAGCAGTCTTAGCTGTCTGTGAAGGCTATTCACACTGCATACGTGTTATTAGGCATGTTAATGAGTCTTAACACTCCCTTGATCCAGTAAAGATATACTCCTCTGCTTAATCTGATAGCTGTGTACTGTTTGCTGGTGGCTAGACACCTATCACACACACACACAGATCTCCACCTGCTACCACCCTGACCCGTTTCCACATCCATCTGTTTCTGCATCTGTGTCTGTATTCGCAATAACACATCTGATTCACTCATCGCTAGGACTAGAGTACACAAAAAATTGCAGATTAAATATGTTACTGCTACAGGCTTTGCATAAAAGCATCATTCATATCCACCCACATTCTCTCCCAAACACACACACACGCATGCTTCAATGTTCAATGAGTTCGAAATAAATCTCCCTTGACAACAGCATGTCAAAAATACACATGCAATTTAAAAGCCGCAAGGTCTGTTGCAGTACACCTAAAGAGCTTCAAGAGCCACAGCCCTTTTCAACTGTGGTCAGCTGTGTGTGAACACGTTGCTGGTCTCTACATGGGAGGAAACACCACTGACCTGATGCGAGTCTTGGTTTGGATTTGAGATTTCCACTTCCTAGGAACAGAGCCGTCGTCCTTATCCAAAGAATCGCACCAGTCCTCTCATGAACCCTCCCTTTCTAGCCGTGCAACCACACACTCTGCATCCTCCATCCTTCCTCTCTCTCTCTCTCTTTCTATCTCTACACTTGCTTTACTGCTCCTCCTCCTCCTTTTTATTTCCCCCTTGCTTCCCCCCTGCCCGCAGAGTGTGTTTTCCGCTTTTCTCTCTCTCTCTTCCTCCACCGAGGATAATCACATTCCAGAGGAGGGACGGCATATGGCAGGGAAACGCCACACGCTCTTGTCTGTCCGTCTTTATGTGCCAATGTGTGTGCGTTTATTGCATGGACAATTACTCCTATTGTGATGTCTGAGGGGTTGGCCAACAAACAAGGGGGTGGGGTGGGGTTTAAGAGGAAAAACTAGGGGAATATTGATGAGTGGGTATGATATTTGGAGAATGCAAGCTCTTCTCTACTGATTGGTCGGGTCACTGGAGTCCATGTATCGTTTTATTTAAGCGGAGGGGTGAAAATGAGGCTGATTCTATTGGAGGGCACGCACTGGTCATGTGATGAAAGACGGACCGGGCCACATGGGAGGAATACAGATGAGTCAGTGATTTGTGGGGGAAGGAGAAGGGGAAGAGGGTGATGGGCACTGTCACCACCTACAATGTTCTCACACTATTGGATGATGAAACAAAGCGTGTATGTACTGTATAATATCAAAGTACAGTAGTGTGTTGTCCTTTATCAATATGGTAAAACCACTGTCCTATTTGGGTGCATATGAATGGGGATGAATTTATTAAACAAATAACTGTTTCAAAATTAATTATTTCTGAATGATTTGTGAAGGACACTGAAGATCAAATAAAAAGATTTTAAATGCAAAAACCTGACTTTTTCTTTTCCTAGTCATTTTCACCAGGGTCATATGTTTAGCTTCAGCGATTTCACTTGAATGGGAATGCAAAGGTTTAATGTCAGTTACTGAAATGCCTTACTTTCATTTGAAATTACTGACTTAAATATGGGATCCTGATCATTTAAAATAAAAAGATAACACATTTCAAATATATATATAAAAAAATATTCCTCAGAGATTTTGGTCCATATTGACATGATAGCATCACGCAGTTGCTGCAGATTTTTTGACTGCACAACATCCAGGGTGTGAATCTCTCGTTCCACCACATCCCAAAGGTGCTCTATTAGGATCTGGTGACTGCGGAGGCCATTTACAGTGAATATTTTTATGTTCAAGAAACCAGTCTGAAATGATTTGCTCTTTATCACATGGCATGTTATCCTGCTGGAAGTAGCCATCAGAAGATGGGTACACTGTGGTCATAAAGGGATGGACATGGTCAGCAACAATACTTGGGTAGGTTATGGCATTGTAACAATGTTCAATTGGTACTAATCTTCAAGGTTGGACATGTGGTGTGCTCAGAGATGCTCTTCTGCATACCTCAGTTGTAACGAGTGGTTATTAGAGTTATTGGAGTTTTCTTTCTATCAGCTTGAACCAGTCTGGACATTCTCCTCTGACTTCTGGCATCAAAAAAGCATTTGCGCCTACAGAACTGCCACTCACTGGATATTTTCTCTTTTTGGACCATTCTCTGTAAACCATAGAGATGTTTGTGCGTGAAAATCCCAGTAGAGCAGCAGTTTCTGAAATACTCAGGCCAGCCCGTCTGGCACCAAGAACCACGCCACGTTCAAAGTCATTTAAATCACCTTTCTTTGCCATTCTGAGGCTCAGTTTGAATTGCAGCAGATGGTCTTGATCATGTCTCAATGCCTAAATGCATGAAGTTGCTGCCATGTTATTGGCTGATTAGCAACTTGCATTAATGAGCAGTTGGACAGGTGTACCTAATCAAGTGCCCGATGAGTGTAAATAAGATATTTACAACTGGATACTGACGTGATATTCAAATTTCCACTGACTTTGTAGAATGGAGAACCCATCTAAATTAACCAAAACATTCTGACAGCTGTTTGCCTAAATCAGAGATGCCCAAACTAGGGCCTGCGGGCCAAAGTTGGCCCATGGTAAGCTGACTTAGCCCGCCATCTCATCTGAGAAGAAAGGGAGAAGCTTTTTTAAATTATGCTTTAAAAAACAGACACATGACAATAGATATTTATTAAAATATTAAATATTAAAATATTGCCAGATTGATAGAAGGTAAATAATAATAACTGCACAAAAAATAAGAAATAAAACAAACACACACACACAAAAAAAACAGGAGTATGAATGGTTAAATAAAATTCTTACAATTTCAAACATGCAGCGCCTTTACATTATTCAAAAATTTTGAAAAAAAGAGCACAGTTTTAATGGCCTTTCTATCAGCACTTTGTTGAATAGTACAGTTCCTTATAAAACAAAGTAAAACAGGGTTTTTTGTTGGAAATTTGACACTATTGAATATTAAACTTAATCAACAAAATAAATAGATGAGAAGGAGAAGGTTATTGTGTATGCCTTCAAGAGAGAGCGTCTTTTCTAATTTAAAGTAATCTTTTGTTTGTTTGTTTATTTCATTGTTGAGCTACAATAAAGCAAACTGAAATTAAATGTTGTGTAATCAGTTTTTTAAAGAGATAGAGGATAGTGCACAATGCACAAGAAGATGGAGGGCAATGCATAAGACATCAATGACATCGACATCGATGATCAAATCAATGAAAAGCTCACCACTCTTAATCAAGTTTGGTTTTTGGCCCTTCATTAGACAAAGTCTGGGCATCCCTGGCCAAGATGAAGACCAAACGAATGACAGTGCAATAGAAATTAATAATTCAAACATTTGCACCACTGCAACGTCACTAACTCATTCAAGTTCACCAAAAAGACTGGTCGTCAATAAAAGACAAATGTAGATCACAGCATCATGCAGAGAATATCAACCGGGCAACTGGTTCAACACTGCAGCTAAGACGGCTAGCCAGATCAGCACTGAAAAAGGTAGCATCTACATATATTGAGACGCAATGTTTCAATTCAGAAAATGTGCATGTTGACAACTGGTCCAAAGTTCACTCTAAGATAAAAGTGAGTTTCATTTATTAGGTTCCAATGGAAAATATTATGTTCTTTATCAAACTGGGGAAAGACTGAAGCCAAGTTTTCTAAAGACATCAGTGAAAATTGGAAGAGGAGGTTTCATAGTTTGGTGGGGATTTCTGCAGCAGAAGTTCATCTTGTTTGTCTAAATGTTTATCAAAAACTTCTTCAGCAACATGTCTTTTCTTCCCTGTTATCCAGCAAATTTCATGCAGGTAGCAAATTCATGCATGCAGGTAGCAAAATAGGCATCTCCTTGAAGCCAAATACATTGAAATAATGGAACTGCAGCCCAGAGTCCTGATCTAAACCTGTTTGAAAATCTCTAGAAAATACAAAGTGGTGGCTAAAAAACACCCTACTCTGGATGTGACCGGAAAACAGACTGTACAAGAATTAGATTGTCACAAAACAGTGTTTTTTTTTTTTTTTAAATGACAAGGAAACAGATTAAATGTGATTGTAAATAGTTATTTAAAATCTCAATGTTATAATTCTCCTTTTGAATTAATTATAGTTTCTGATGGCTGTAAAGTTGCTCTATGATGCAGTAAAGCCTGAGGTGGCAGTGTCTCAATGAATTACCAACATCCCTGCAAATATATCCACACCCAAACACACACACAAACACTTCAATATTTTATCATGGATGTTATAATTATTTCTGTCATATATCTTGGTGTGTTGACCCTGGTGCTAATTCTCCCAGTCAGCCTAAACACTACTGACCTCTTTCTAGCCACACTTCTTCTTGTAGTCCTTAGTTCTCACTCACTCGTCTGACAACTTACTCATCACACGCAAATGAATGCCACCATTCTTGCCCTTTGACAACTACACTTTATTAAGGTCACATCCCAGCAAACGAACACAGCTCGTTTCCTCATCTCCCCCTCATCTCCTTTTCCATCAATACGGTCACTCCTCCCCCTCCATGACTGGTAGTAAATGGAGCCCGAGGCTATGTCTTCACACTGACATTATTCCCTGCAGATGCGTCTGAATGATCCTTTGACGTGCTGATTTCAAAGTCAACATAATTTAGACCACACAGACTGTACTAATGTATTCATTAGGCCTAAACGTAGGGTGCTTCTATAAATAAAAAACAGATAAATATTTTAATGTAACTAATGCTTTCATATGTTTATGCATTCATCCATCTTTCAGTCTGTCCACTCATCTATCCATCTGTCTATCCATCCATCCATCCATATTTTTATCAATCCATTGAAACATACATCAATCTGTCTGTCTATCTATGTCTGTCTGTCTGTCCGTCCATCCACCCATCAAATATTCCATCCATCCATCCCACCCAACCATCTATCCAACTGTCCATTTTTCTATCAACCTGTCAGCCAAGACTAATCCATTTATCAGTAAAACCATCCTTCCATTTATCCTCATTCATCCATCCATCCATCACTTTATTCCTCCATCCATCCATGCATCAATCTGACTATCAAATATTCCATCCATCCTATTCAACCAATAATCAAGCTGTTCATTCTTCTGTCCATCTGTCAATCATTCATCCTGTACACAAATCCATTTATCAGTAAATCCATCCATCCATGTTCATTTATTCATTTACCCACCCATCCCTCCATCCATCAACTTTTGCATGCATCTACCTGGCTGCCTATCTACAGCAGGGGTGACCAACCCTGTTCCTGGAGATCGACCTACCTGCAGATTTCAGTTGCAACACATATCAAACCAACACAATCTCACGGCAATTCGTAACTTTTTGATTTAGTGGCTAATTCGTATGAATTCGTATGATCTAATTCGTTCAATTTAGTACGACTTGCTCATCCCCCAATAATGGTTGGGTTTAGGGGTGGGGTAAGGTGCCACGCCTCCTTTTTAAAATCTACAATTTCGTACGACTGAACTCGTACGAATTAGCCACTAAACTGGCAAAACGTAAAATACTTACGTTTTCTCGTGAGATCACACCTGCCTGTAA